AAAACAATTTACCACAACAGACCAGACATCACACTCATTGACAAACACAATAAAATCACATACATTATAGACATAGCCATTCCAAACACTCACAATGTACAAAACACATGCACTGAAAAAATTAGCAAGTACACAGAACTCACCCAAGAAATAAGGCATTTGTGGAGGATGGATAGGGTGCTTATTGTACCTGTCGTTCTCTCCTGTACAGGTGTGATACCACACACACTACACAAAAGCCTGGGAACATTACAGTTGAATAGAAGTACATACATCACAAGGCTGCTATATTGAATACATGCCGTATTGTTAGGAAATTCCTGAACACAGACACTGACACACTTATTTAATTTTAGTTTTGTTTTGGTTGCTATGCCTTGACTCTGGTCTGGCATAATACATAGCCATCGGTGTGAACCAAGTATAACCCACTAAACCCAACATAATAATAATCAGAACTAATACAATATGTAATTTAATTCTATTTAATTGATAATTTACTAACATAAAATATTAAATTCTGTAATTAAATCAAAATCTAGAGAAAATAATTTTAATTTGGATTTATTTTAGTAATATATTTTAAAAATGTATTATTCAAATGTGTCAGAACAATATGATAATACACTTGCTCATCCAAACAGAAAATTTCTTTTCAAATAGAAAACATACAGCTTTAAATCTCATTGTTGTGGATCAGGTTATAACATTAATTAATCCAGACATCCATCGTGAAATTTAGAAAACTAAAAACATATTTTTTAAATTTCGATTTGAACAGCCACATATCTTCTGACTGACAAGGACTAATCAGATGACACTATCATCCAATATATGTCAGTCAGCAGAAATGTGGCTGTTCACAATGGGATTCAAAAAATATTTTTTTTAGTTTTCTAAATTTTACGATGTATTTCTGGATTAGAAAAAAAACAGTTGGCTTCAATCAGATATGAAACATATTTTTTGATGGAATGTCAAATAATATAATTGAGATTTCTCAAACACTAATATAAGAATACTATAATTACTAAATTTCAACAGCTTAGTGATTAGAACTGTCATAATTTTGTTTAAGGATATATAAAGGATAAGGTTTATATCCTCATTAAAATATATTTTTGGATCTTAGTTTTTCATTATATGCCTATTATTTTGTATCATTAGTATTTGCCATATATATTTTGAGTGTTATGTTTATTAACAAAAGTTATCATATTTTTTTCTTTATCTGTAGGCAGTCAGAAATGCTGTATTGGATCGGTCACCTGAATTTAAAGATGCAAGAATTCATTCATATCTCAATGTTACTGCAGTGTATGATCTTCTTACAATTGCATTAGTGAGACGGAATCAATTTCAAATCTTAGGCGAGGTAATTTTTTAAATTTAAAAGATTAAAACAATTGAAAACCATTTTTAAGATTATGATTATTATT